GAAGACTTGTTATCAACCTATACTCAAATCTCTGCAGAATTCACCAATGAAGCCATTTGGGCCAGGCCTTTTCTGTGTGTGTTTTTTAAATTACCAAATGATTTAAAACTGAAGGTTTTGTTATTATTCAGGTATGGTGAGGTCAGCAGATCAGGAGTTGACTACCACTGAAAAGATAATTTATTACTAAAGGACAGTTCCCAAAGACTAGGGTATGCCATGCCACACAGAAGCCAAACAATGGGATGAGCCAGGAAGGCAAAGGGACAAAGGGGAAAGTGTGAAAACCTTCACGTGGCTTCTGAGGGAAGCAGTAGGTCAGACAAAGTAGGTAGTCTCAATAGGCTATGCAGTGATTAGGGCAGGAGAATAAGTAGCCCAGAGGGAGAGAGCCCCGTAGAGGAGGTTTGGGGTGTAGGCTCTGGATTTATTAATTGGTCTATGAAAGGTGTGCCCATATTTTATATCTAGATTTGACTAAACACTCTCCAAAGTCCACAAGGCCCAGCATCCCAAAGCATCAGAAATACAAAAAATAAAAAGGCATGATTAATATACTTGTTCATTCTTTTTGCCCACTTTATCTGTCTAATTTGTTGGCATGTACTCATTCAAAGCATTTCCTTACAATTCCTTTTTTAAAAAGATTTATTTATTTGAAGCAGAGTTACAGAGACAGAGGGAGAGACAGAGAAAGAGAGAGGGAGAGAGAGGGAGAGATCTTCCATTTGCTGGTTCAGTCCCCAAATGGCTGCAATAGCCAGGGCTCGGCCAGGCCAGAGCCAGGAGCCAGAAGTTTCAACCAGGTCTCCCACATGTGTGGCAGGGCCCCAAGAACTTGAGCCATCTTCTGCTGCTTTCCCAGGTGCATTAGCAGGGAGCTGGATCAGAAGTGGAGCAGCCGGGACTTGAACTGGTGACCACATGGAATGCTGGCATTGCAGGTGTGGCTTTACTAGCTGCACGACAATGTCAGCTCCTCCTTACAATCCTTTTTATTTCTCTCAGATCAGTAGTAATATGCATCTTTTCCTGTGCTGGAATGAGAAGGCCATGCCAATATGGCCACTGACAACGGAAACTGCCTGGCAACAGGCTGTGATTAGTTAGGGCATAGACCACCCCTTGACCAGATTGGCTGCCTTGGCTATTTAAGCTGCTGTACCAATTGAAATAAATGAGTCTGCGGGCTGCTCACTTCTAGCCTGCTTTCACCCGACTCCCGGGGTCTATGTGGTGACTCTGCGCCTGTTGCCCCCACCACGCTCCTCCTCTCAGAATGAATCCACAGCAACATTTTCCATCTTAATTTTAATACTTTGAAGCTTCTCTTTTTCCCTTGGCCAATCTAAAAAGATGTTGGCAAATATTGTTGATCTTTTTTTTAAAAAAAGATTTATTTTATTTATTTGAAAGACAGAGTTACAGAGAGTGGTAGAGACAGAGAAGAGAGAGATCTTCCATCTGCTGGTTCACTCCCCAGATGGCTGCAACAGCTGGAGCTGTGCTGATCTGAAGCCAGGAGCCAGGAGCTTCTTGCAGGTCTCCCATATGGGTGCAAAGGCCCAAGGATGTGGGCTATCTTCCACTGCTTTCCCAGGCCATAGCAGAGATCTGGATTGGAAGTGGAGCAGTTGGGACTAGAACCTGCACCATATGGGACGCTGGCACTTCAGGCCAGGGGTTTAACCTGCTGTGCCACAGCACTGGCCCCTCAAATATTGTTGATCTTTTTAAAGAATCAAGTTCTGCTTTTAATTTTCTCTATTGTTTATTCTGTTTCATTGATTTCCACTCTAATTTTTAATATTTCCCATGTCTTCTTGATTTGGGTTTAGGTCTTTTTTATTCCATGTCTTATGGTGCAAAGTAAGGTAATAGGTTTTGTATTTTTTCCTCTGACTTTTCCCCCTTTTTAAGTGTTGATACTTGCAACTATGAATTTCCCTCTAAACATGGCCTTGGCTGCTTCCCATAAGATTTGGTATGTTGAGCTTTCACTTTCATTCATCTCAATATATTATTTTATTTCCCATGTGATTCCTTCTTTGACTCATTTATTATTTAGAAAGATGTTGTTTGATTTCCACATATTTGTGGGTTTTCTAAAATCTTTTCTATTAAGCATTTCTATGATTTTGATCCTTTAAACTTTATTGAGATTAATATATCATCTACTCTGGGGAATGTTCCGTGTGCAATTGAGTAGAATGTTTATTCCACTTTTGTTGGGTACAGTGTTTTATAGATGTCTGTTATGTCTATTTGGTTTATAGTGTTGTTTAAGTCTTCTGTTTCTTCATTTATTTTCTGCTTACTTCTACTAATGAGTGAAAGGAGGGTTCTGATATTGAAATCTTCAGCTATTATTGTGGAATGTCTATTTCTTCCCTCAATTCTGCCACTTTTTGCCTCATGTGTCTGGGACTCCATTAAATTCAGAGATATATTGATAATGGTTCCATGTTCCTAATGGATTGGCTCTGCTGTTGTTGTAACATATCCCTCAATTTCTACTACTTTTTTTTTTATTGGCTTTCAAACATATTCTGTCTATTAGTATAGCCACACTGGCTTTCTCATAGTGGCTGTTTGCGTGGCATTTCACTCTGTCCTTTACTTTCAATCTGTTTCGGTCTTTGAATCTGAAGTGTGTCTTGTGTCTCTAGTGGATGGTATGTATCTGTAGGTGATTCTTGTTTTTTCCCCCAATCTAATAATCTAATAATCTTTTATTGAATAATCTCTAATTGAATCTATTCACATTCACATTATTATTGATATAGTTGGATTTATGCTTGCCATTTTCTTTTTTTCTCTTTTGTCCTCTTTGTTTCTTTATTCTCTTTTGCTGCATTTTTGTATTGTATCATTATTTTATAGCATAACATTTTAATTTCTTCAATGATATTTCTTGCACTGTTGAGTTTTTTTTCAGTTATTTTCTTAGTGATTGTGCTAGATCTTGCTGTATACATTTTAGCTTATCAGAACTGACTTCAGTTATTTGCTTTTAAATTTTGCTCTCCTTTTCTCTTTAATTATTTTTATTTACTTGAAAGGTAGAGCAGCAGACGGAGACAAGAGACAGGAACACAGAGAAGCATCTTCTATCACTGGCTCGCTCCTCAAATGCCTACAGCAGCTAGAACTGAGCCAGGCTAAACCAGGAGGCTGGAACTCAATCTGACTTTCCCATGTTAATGGCAGGGATCCAGGTACTCGAATCAGGATGTGCATTAGCAGGAAACTGTGATGAGCTGGCACTAGAATCCAAGCCCTCCAATACATGATGTGATTGTCCAAACTGGCATCTTTACTACTGTGCCACAGGGCGGGCCCCTGATCAGTTCTATGCTAACTTAATTATAGCAAGATGTAGGTACTTTAGTCTTTATAGCTGTGTGTGTGTGTGTGTGTGTGTCTGTGCACGCATGCTATTCTCTCTATACAAGGGTGCTTTTAAAAGTTTGTGGAAAATGGAATTAAAAGATAAGTTTATTTTGGAGCAAAAAAAATGTTTTTGAATTCTGTGAATAATTTTGTCATATTAATTTTTATTTTTTCTTTAATTTTTTTGTCTGTTTAAAGATTTATTTATTTATTTGAAAGTCAGAGTTACACAGAGAGAAAAGGAGAGGCAGAGAGAGAGAGAGGTCTTCCATCTGCTGGTTCACTCCCCACATGGCTGCAATGGCCGGAGCTGCACCAATCCAAAGCCAGGAGCCAGGAGCTTCCTCTGGGTCTCCCATGAGGGTGCAGGGGCCCAAGGACTTGGGCTATCTTCTACTGCTTTCCCAGGCCATAGCAGAGAGCAGGATAGAGAGTGGAGCATCTGGGACACGAACCAGCACCCATATGGGATGCTGTCAGTGCGGGCTTCAGCTTTACCCACTATACCACAGCACCAGCACTAGCCCCATGTGTTTTTAAAAAATCTATTTATTTGTTTGAAAGGCAGAGCTATAGAGAGAGAGGAAGAGACAGAGAAAGATCTTCTATCCATGGGTTCACTTCCCCAGTGACCACAATGACTAGGGCTGGGCCAGGCAGAAGCCAGCAGCCTGGAATTACATCTGGGTCTCCCACTTGGATGCAGGGTCCCAGGGACTTGGTCATCTTCTGCTGCTTTCCCAGGTGCATTAGTAGGCAGCTGGATTGGAAGTGGAGCAGCAGGGACTTGAACTGGAGTCTGTGTGGGATCCCAGCGTTGCAAGTGGCTTATCCTGCTGTGCCACAATTACTGGCCCCATAATAGGCATTTTTGAATGAACTTTTTGAAGACTCCTTGAATATTTGAACTTCAAAAATTGTTTGCACCAAAATAAAGTTATCTTTGATAAAATTTTTGATGAATGTTTTGAGGTACTCTCATAAATATTACATTTGTATATGTGGAAATCAACAATACATTGGTATAATTAATACTTTATATATCATATTATGTCCTTTAAATAAGTTGGGAAAAGGAATGAGCATCAGCATGCATTTATAGAGTTGGTTCTGCTAATTTTTTTTTATTATTAAGATTGATTTATTTACACAGAGTTTCAGAGAGAAGTTGAGACAGAGAGAGCTATCTTCCATCTGATGGTTCACTCCCCAGATGGCCGCAATGGCTGGAGCTGTGCTATCCAAAGCCAGGAGCCTGGAGCTTCTTCCGGGTCTCCCATGTGGGTGCAGGGACCCAAGGACTTGGGCCATCTTCTACTGTTTTCCCAGGCCATAGCAGAGAGCTGGATTGGAAGTAGAGCAGCTGGAACAGGAACCAGCACTGGGATGCGGGCACTGCAGGAGATGGCTTTACCAGCTACACCACAGCACTGGCCCCAAAACATATATTATGTTTCCATTTATTATAGGCCCAATACTTCTATTACCTACATATTGTCTGTTAATTGATTTTAAAAACCACTTAAGAGAAAAAAGGAGAAGAAATATGTATTTATAGTCTTTTAATTACTTATATAATTATTTTCCTTGGTGCACTTTGTTTTTAGGTGTGAAATTGAAATTCTCTGAGGTCACTTGGCTTCTACTTGAATAACTGTGCTTCTCCTAAGGTAGGTCTGTATCTTTTGCACAAAATTTTTGTTTCTATTTCACTTAATAATGTTCCATGTCATTTCCTCTCAACTGTTTTAATTTAATTTCTATATTTTAAGGGCAGTGAGGGCATGGAGGGAGAGAGAGAGAGAGAGAGAGAGAGAGAGTCTCGTCTGTTGGTTCATTCCCCGAAAGCCCATGATAACCAGGGCTGGGCCAGGCTGAGGGGAGAATTGGGAACCAGAAACTTGATCCAGCTCTCCCATATGAATGGCAGGAACCTCAGTATTTGGACTGCTGCCTACAAGGATGTGCATTAGCAGGAAACTGGAGTCAGGAGAGGAGCCAGGACTGGAACGCAGGCACTCTGATATGGGATGCAGGTGACCCCGAAAGACATCTATCTTTACTGCTGTGCCAAACACCTCCCCCTCAACTCTTTTTCAGAAACAACTCCATGGCCAACATGCATCTAATTATTCTCCTTGAGGGTTATTTTCCACTTTTCAGTATTAGCGATGACACCGTGTCATGAGCATTTTTGCACATACATGCTTAAGAAAATGTTTTTTTTTTTTTTTTAAAGTACACAAATAATCTGAGAATACATTTATGGCTAAAACCATCCCAACAATAAAATAGTGCCCCTCTGAAGCTGCTCTCCCTGGCCATCCCCATCTCCTTCACAAACATAATCACATTTATTGTCTCCGTGTAGCTTTTCTTATATTTGTCTATGCATTTGCACATACACAGAGAGAGACATAGAGGGAGAAGAAGAGGGAGGGTGAAATATTTGTTTTTTGTTGCTTTTGTTTCTGATTTTAGTTTTCTATTAATGGGATCATTCATCCTGTTTCTCACCTCGTTTTCTTCACTTAACAACAAGTCTAGGGGGTGGTTCCAAGTCAGTCTGAACTCCTTCTTTTCCAACTGCTGCATAGAATCTCACGGTCAGCCAAGAAATATTTTTTGAGTTCCTGCTGGCAGGGCCTGAGGACCAGATGAAGTTTTACTTCACACAAGGAGCTATCAAATTTAGCTTTCCCATTTTGATGAGTGTATAGGTTTCTCCTCAAGGACAGATGCTTACAAGAGGAATTACAGGGGTGGGGACACAGGTGTGCAGCACAACTAATAAGGTACCTCTTGGGACATCCATGTTCCATAATGAAATGCTTGGTTTGGAGACTGGCTCCTTCACTTCTGATCCAGCTTCCTGCTAACGGGCACCTTCGGAGACGGCAGATGATGGCTCATGCACTTAGGTCCCTACCACCCACACGGAGACCCACATTGAGTCCAATCCTGGTTTCAGAGAGGTCCAGCCCTGGCTCTGGTGAGCATTTGGAGTGGGAACCAGCTGATACAAGTTTTCTGTCTGTGCCTCCATCTCTGCCTTTCAAAAAAAGTGGAAATAAATAAACAAACAAATAAATAAATATTTAAAAAGAGGAATTACCAAGTCAAAGTCTTTTGACATGTACCTTATGGCACTAGTTTATATTTCCAAGAAGAATAGATGATAGCATTGGCTTGCAGATATGGTAGATGGGAAAATTTCAGTTTTAACTTGCATTTTTTTGTATTACTACTGAGATTTCTTTTTTTATTAGCCAATTGTATTTTCTTGGTGGAGTGTTACAATTTTTTTCTTTTGTCCAATTTTTAATGAGGTCTATTTTCATGTTTTCTTGTTTATTTGTGCAAATACTTAATATTTTTTTTCTTTTCTAGTTTTTGTTGCAATATTCTTTTCTATTTGCTTTTGTCATCTAATTTTTTATGACTCTTTAATGAGCAAAAAGCTTTATTTTTTGAAGGTTTCATTTTAACTAAGACAAAGCATTTATTTTCCCCCCTTTGCTGCTTCCTTTATCATTTATGTACAAAAGCCTTTCCCAAATCAAGATAAGATAGTCATTTTATAAACTTAGCCATTGGTTTCATTTTTAATATCAAGCTTTTTAATCTATCTGAAAAAAAGTAAAGAGTGAAGAAAGATTTCATTTTATTTCCCCAAAATTATATTCACACAAATAATTCAAAGACCCTTCCTTTGCCCATGGTATCTGATGCATGGAATTCTGATCCTGTTAGTTCATGTGAAACCCTTATATTTACATTTTTACTTTCATCAGTGATCCTACTTCTATTGTATATGCTCCATCGATGCCCACTTCATTGTGTTTGAAATAGGTTTGTGAATCATATCTAAAACATGTATTGTTTGAGTGAGTAAAAGTGAACATTCAATGGTAAATTTGCACTAAAAATTCTGCTTTTTATTGATTAATCTTACTAGAGTTGTCTACTTTTTTCATCTTTCCAAATAATCCACACTGGGTTTATTAGTCTTCTCTGTTGTATTTCTGAGGTTACCTCTGTTATTTCTTTCCCTTGTATTTCACTGGGCTGATCCAATTTTTTTACTCAAATTGCACAATGTTAAGAGTTTAGTTCATTCTTTTCAATTTCTTGTTTTTCTTTTTTTTAACTTTTTATTTTAAAAATTTTATTTATGCTATACAAATTTCATGTATTTCATATATGTAGATTTAGGAACATAGTGATACTTTCCCACCTTCATAATTTCTTTTAGTAACATTTTCAGTGTCATTCAATTCCAAGCATTATTTAATACTTCTTGTAATTTCTGCTTTAATCCAAGAGTAACTTTATTAGAATATATTGTGTTTTTTTTCAGATATAAAGAATATTTTTGAATATCCTATAGTTTTATTAGAACATGATTGGTAAGATGTTAAATCTTTTACTTAAGATTTACATTTTGATGGAATTGTTATGAGTTGTCTATTTGCTTGGAAAGAATATGTATTCTCTGCTTATTCCATGTTTAATTTGATTGATTTTTTCAAATAATCCATGCATTTGCTGCTCTTATTTCTGTTTTGTTTGAATGGTCTATCAATGTCTGAAAAGGATCTATGAAACATCCAGCAATTGCACCTTCTGTTCTCTCCATAGTTCTGCCCGCAGCTGCTTTATTTAGTGGAGAGATGTTCACATTTTATTATTTAGCATTTTATTAGACTTGGCGCCTTTTTCTAATCCCCAGAGCTTTTTTGATCTTGAATTCCATTTTGCTTAACAACTATTTCTAAGTAACTTACTTCCTTTTACCTTTCTTTGCAAATTTCTTACATTTATCTCTTTTCTTAAAGTTTTTTGAAAGAATCTCTGTATAATAAACAGTCTGTGTCTTTTAAATTTTTTATTGCACACTTACATAGAAAAGATAGTTTATCTAGATACATTTTTTCAATTTGCAGCAATAATGACACACATAGGCATTTCTTTCCTTTTTTGTTTTTCATTTTAAAAAATTTTTTTCTTCCTTAATTTTATCTGCCAAATGTAAGAGAGAATGTGGAATTTGTCTTTCTGTGTCTGACTTATTCCACCCGACAGCATGTCCTCCAGGGGCATCCATTTTGATTCAAACAGTTGAATTTCAGTCTCTTTCATAGCTGAATGATATTGTGTGTGTATACCAGTTTCTTTATGCCTTCCTCTGATGATGGATGCGTTGGATGACTTCACATTTTGGCTACTGTAAAAAGTGGTGCTATAAACATGGTGGTGCAGGTATCTGTCTGATACAATGTGTTCATGTTTTTTGGGTACATATCCAGCAATGGGATTGCCGGATCATATGGCAAGTGTATTTATCTAAGTTTCTTTCAGAAATCTCCATACTATTTTCCAAAGTGGCTGCATAATTTATATCCTCATCAATAGTATATAAGAGTTTCCTTTTCTCCACATAATTTCCACCACTATTATCCAGAAGATAGAAAATAGCTATCTTCTGGATAATAGCCATTCTGACGGGGTGAAGTGATATCTCATTGTGTATTGATTTTGCATATATTGATGGCTAATGATATGCAGTGTATCAATTGTTTCTAGCCATTCTATGTCTTCTTTTGAGAACTATCTGTTGAGTTCCTTTTTTATTTATTTATTTGAAAGAGATACAAAGACAGGGAGAGGCAGAGACAAAGAGATCTTCCATCCACTGGTTCACTACCCGGATGGCCACAATGGCTGAGGCTGGGCCAAGCCAAAGCCAGGAGCCAGTAGCTTCTTCCAGGTTTCCAATGTGGGTAGCAGGGGCCCAAGCCCCTGGGCCATCCTCTGCTGCTTTTCCCAGGCCATCAACAAGGAGCTGGACCAGAAATGGAGCATCCAGGACACGAACCGGCACCCACAGGGGATGCTGGTATCGTTGGCAGTGGCTTACTCACTACACTACAACTCCAGTTCCTGAATTTTTTTAAAATTGTTGATTTTTTTTGAGTTGGTGATATAGTACAGATTGTAATCATTTGTCAAATAAGTAGCTTGCAAATATTTTTCCCATTCTGTTTGCTGTCTCTTCACTCTTACTGAATGTTTCCTTTTATGTCCAGAAACTTCTGAGTGTAATATAATCCCATATGTCTAGTGCCTATGCTTTAGTGGTCTTATCCAGAAGTCATCACTTAAACCAGTGTCTTGAATCATTTCCCATACCTTTTCTTCCAGCAACTTCATAGCCTCAGGTCTTAATGGATACAAATTTTAACACAATGCATTTAAATGTTGCCCTTGTGAATACCCCCCAACCTTAATCTTGCTGGGCATTCTATAAGGATATTCAAACTGAAAAAATTTTTTTTTCCTTAATTCTGGAAATTCTCTGTTATCTCTTAAAACATTTCCTGCACTCTTCAGGAATTCCTAGTTGACATTTCTATGTCCATCTACCTTATTGCTCAACTTTTTGTATACATTTTCCATCATTTTATCTCTTCTGGGTGTGATATGTGGTGGGTATGTTCCTCACACTTGATTTCACAGCTCATCAATTTGTTCTTCATGTGTATTCCTTGTGTTGCTCATCTTAATTACTGAATTACTTATTTCAACTATCGCACTTTCTGAAACCACCTTTTGTACATGGTTTTCCTTATTCTGAGTGTTCTTATTTTGCTCTATCAATATTGTCTCT